CACCGACATGTGGAACAGCCTCCCCGATGACATCGTTGGCGCTCCAGGTATGAACGCGTTCAAGAACAGACTAGATAAAGCTATGGAAAAATATATGTTCAGTTTTGAAATGCCTAGCACCATATCGAACCCGGTGAAAGTCTAGTAGCTACGTTAAACTATCGTCAGTCATGAAAAGATCAGATCAAATGACACGATTTTAGATCTTCTGTGATTCTGTGAACAAGGCACGAAAAGGAAAAGAATCGGCGACAGGCCACATCAGGCCTACACGTCAGCGCCGAGATCAATATGTTATGTTACGTTATTATTATTTACCGTGCTCCTGTAATATCTGTAATCTTTCCCAAGTACTCGCACTTCTTCAGCAATGGTAATGATCAGTAACGTCTATGATCAGGAGTATTTACCAGTGCGGGCGAAAATACTTTGCGATTAACGTTAAATATTGTCGAGCACATGACCACTACATCAGGTAATGCAGTCCATGCCGACAGGCTTACATCTGCACCATGGCAACAAATTTGCTAACATTCTTAAGCAGAACTCTATTGTGGTCTGCAAATGATAACTTCGATGCATAGTCCAGTTCTGCATCTATGACGGCGATGTGGATTTGAGGTATGATCAGTCCAGGTTACGTCCCGTGTGGCTTGGTTTTAAGAGTCCACGATATCGCCGTGTGATGTCGGAGTTCCCTGAGACCAGCAGATCGCTGTAAAATCTGAGCTCGCGTGTTGGTTCGCTCGTCTCCAAACCTTGGTCCCGTAATCACTTAAACAACATATTTGTGGCTGACACACCCATGCCTAAAGAATATTGTTCTTAAGGCAAGGGGCGGCTGCTCAGGCGGCCGGTGAATAGCCAGCCTGTCCGCAAGTTGTGGATCCACAGGAATGCTCGTCTCCGACCTCCAGCAACCACAGCATTCTGAAGAGCACTCGGTGGTCCGTTTTGTCAGAGGCTTCCGTTAATTTCAAGAACACCACATTGATGCCAACCTCTTCCTCCAGGAAGATTGTTGTCTTCCATAATCTAGTGAATCCTCTTGGCAAAGAACAAGCGAAGCAAAATTATTACCTGTAAATTTAGGGTAACTGGTCAGTATTTTCAGGTCTATTGCTAGCAATTCGGAAGTTGTGTAAAATGGTCTTATTGGTCCCAACATGAGGTACCCAAAAATGATCTCCATTGACGAATGATTGTGGCCTAACGCGCCAACGCCTTTCTTCAGCAACCCTACAAGAACTCCGCAAGATCCCGACGCTAAAATTGGTGGACAGCTCTCAGATGCGGAGATTTATTTCCTCTGGTCCATGCTCCATGTTCTCCACTCTATCCCTTCTAGCAATTTCTGTAGGGCTTCGATTCAATTCTGAATGGAGTAACAAGAGCCGCTAATCTGAAAATGCGCCCTCACCAATTCGCACATGCGGTACATGCAAGCCTTGCGAGGGCTTAGTTTTCTTTAAGAAGCCCCACCGCAAGCCTTTTTTAGCCTTGAACTTGTATCGAAGGATTTTGGGCCCTTCATGGGTCCCGCAACTGTTCTTAGACACATTAGACACATGCGGATGTAGGAACTAACACTCAAGGGAAGGGCCACTATTGCCGACGGGTAATAGACCTGGAAGCTCTTTTTAGAAACAATAAACGCCACAAGAGAGCGTCTCAAACACACAACTTATCCTCACAACGGCTCAAAACTAACGCCCCGCATTTAAACTAGCCTGTAGAAAGTATATATGCAAACTGCTTATAATGGTACCTAGTGGTTTAATATCTTACATCATAATTGTTAATTATAGTAAGATAAATGTTATTATGTTCTTGATTGATAAGGTTCTAGTCTAAACCTCAATCTATTCTCGAACTTGTGGTTCCATATGAGTAATGTACTTCAATTTTGCTGCCCTGGCTCCCTAATGAAAATGAAAGTAATTATTGACAAATGCCTGTTGCACCAAAATATCGCATCTCAACACGACCAAATATTATCACACCGATGCAAAATCATCTGAAATGAGCCATAATATAATAAGAAGAACGCAAAATTACTTAGGGATTAAGGCCAATAATAAAGTAATATTGAGTCGCATTCCAATGTTAACTGAAGAAATGTAGGTCTTTTTCTGTGGTGTTCTTTAATTTTTCCGCCACCACATTCAGTCCGTGAGATTTACACTTGATCTGCATCGCGTTCATTATCATAAGGGTAGTTTATAATTCAACTGGATACTGGATAGAGTATTCTCATCAAGTGTGATTTAACATTGTCTGTGATTCTTTTGCCAATTTTGCTCCCATACAATCCATATAGTATATTCATTTTAATAATCATCGTAACTAAATAACAAGTTCAGTGATAAAGTAAAATGAAGCCAAACTCCCTAGCTAACAGGAGACGAGCGCATGGCACTCCTGTACTCGAGCGGTACGACAGGCAAGGCGAAGGGCGTCTCTATCCACCACAGCGCCGGCATCGCCAACTTGGACATGCTGTCCCACCCCAGTTACTTCGTGGGGGGGTTGTCCACTGGTGGGTTCTGGTGTTGTTATTGTTGAGTGATGTGAACCTGCAACTTGTACATGCTGTCTCACCCCAGTTACTTCGTAGGGGGGTTGTCCACTGGTGGGTCCTGGTGTTGTTATTGTTGAGTGATGTGAACCTGCAACTTGTACATACTGTCTCACCCCAGTTACTTCGTGGGGTGGTTGTCCACTGGTGGGTTCTGGTGTTGTTATTATTGAGTGATGTGAACCTGCAACTTGGACATGCTGTCTCACCCCAGTTACTTCGTGGGGAGTTGTTCATTGGGTTGCTTCTACAAGGTAAATCACGAAAACTTCCTGATTTGAAAGGATGAAAAAACTAGTAAAGACATCATTACTATATAAATTTTATTGAAAAAGACACTACCTGAATTTTTGTTTCATTTAGTTTTAACGATGACATCGGACAAATGACGGCCCCATTTTCAATGTATTCAATTAGTCTATTTTTGAAGTTCCGTTCAACTCGCTGAAGCATATTGACGGGCATGTTGGCGATGGCTTGGCATATGTTGTTCTTCAAATGAGGTAGGCTCCTTGGACAGTGATTGTAAACAATTGGCTTAAGATAACTTGTCCTAAATGTTTTCATCCACGTAAAAATCTATTTCCGATCAGTAACCCGACCTGAAGGACGAATACGGAACCGAGTACGGAATGCTCGCTGAGTAGCGATAATGGAACAGCCATTAGAAAAGTACGCCTCGACAGCAATCACCCACTGCTCACTTGTCCAATGCATAAAGTGGCAATTGACTAGGCAGGACACAAAATTTCATGACCTTGCATTTTTATATGAAATACTCCCGCACTTTTCCTACAACATCTGCTGTTGACGCGAATTATATAACAGGAAGTTTACGTGAATCAACCTGTAGTTCGTCAATGGAGATTTAAACGAGGAATGATCATGGACGCGTCCAGAGGTGTTTGGAGTATCAAAGCTGTGCCTGCTCGAATAGATTATTTTTACTGTCTGTGTTAACGAAGTAAGGCGTAGATAATTATATAATAAATATATTGGACACGAGTGCTGAACTTTCAATGCTTGGACAACCACTGGCAGAGACTTAACTCACTTTGTTTAACCCAAATCAAGGTATCTTTAATTTTGTTCCTTAATTCTACCCAAATTGGTCCAGCTGATTCACCGTGCTTCGCGCTGGCGCTGCCCATTTACCATCTCTCTGGGTTCCTGGTCATTTCCAGCCTGGCGTTGCTCCATGGAGTCAAACTGGTCAACATCACCAAGTTTAACCCTGAGACGTATATTGAAATCCTAATTGAAAATAAAGTGAGTTATATAACAATAAATTTAGAAAAATGAATGGCTCGTACTATCCAAACGGTGTAACACTTCCGGCACGTAGCATCAAGTCCTTATGCTGCCCCAAACTCGACCAGGGGCCGGATTATCAAAACATCGCTAAGTACAGGTAGCGACTTACGTGTGGCGTAAGTGCTGCTATGATGACGTAACTCTGGCGGTGGTATTATCAAAACATTTGCGCGGGAAGCTACGTACAAGAAGCCGTACGTAGCTCTACGCCTGCTCAGAGGTGTCGTAAGTGGAGTTACGTAGACGTTTTGAGTGTGCCGAAGCAATATAAAACTATTGATTTACTTGCAACACGGTGAATTGTGATTGAATTTTGTCAATAATTCAGCATAGGCATAATATGTGATCGTGCTAAACGGTACTTTTTGAGAAAAAAAAAATTCAATTAAGTTATGCCAGCTAATTTCTTTTCCTTTTGTGCTATATAATGCAAGCAAATCTTGATATTCGTATCTAAGAGTTTTATGATCATGCACTAAAATAATATCTTCATGACTTTTTGATTCAAAACTAAGTGGAGTTTGACAAGCCAACCATTTTTCTAGCTACGTACACAAATTCCTTTCCTTCTCCGCTGATAGTTGAACTCCAACTCACAAAATGTTCTAAATTCTAGGTAGCTCTCTTAAAAGTCCTCAAATTTTAAATGGGAAAAATGTAATTTTTTGCCTTGATTGCAAAAAATTGCAATCAAGGCGTTGTCATTGCTATTTAGACAACGTCTCACTCATTTCTCCATATGCTCCCTAGTCAGTCAACGCAGATGACGCTCGGCACAATACAACCTCCTTTCATCCACGCGCACTGCGCACTGAGTCGACAGGAGCTAGGAATGGCAAATTCGAAGCCTCTGATTAGTCAGTTAGTTGGATGGTTTCGATAATACCTTTTCAGATGAGTCTTGCGTAAGACAGTTTTGTAAATGCCAAATTTTGACTGACTTACGCAATACGTAACTTTTTGAACGTAAGTACGAAAAGTTACGTGTACTTAGCGAAGTTTCGTTAACCTCTGCCCAGGATGACCCACACACGGGTAAGAAGTGCACCGATTTTTTGACATACTCCCACTTATATCTGGCCTGCCGTTTTGAATCGCGATTCAGTTCCGGGCGGCTTCTAGTTTTGATTAAAGTTTAACCTAAAAAGTCATCATGTATCGTCACGTATTTCGTGGTAAATATTACATAACAGAACCAGAATAAGTTTTAGATGGCAGAATTTGCTAATTTTTACGCGTGCGACTAGTGACCAGGGCAGAGATTAACGAAACTTCGCTAAATACACGTAACTTTTCGTGCTTACGTTCAAAAAGTTACGTATTGCGTAAGTCAGTCTAAATTTGGCATTAACAAAACTGTCTTACGCAAGAATGATCTGAGAAGGTACTATCGAAACCATCCAACCAACTGACCAATCAGAGGCTTCGAATTTGCTATTCTAGCTCCTGTCGAGTGTCGACTCAGTGCGCAGTACGCGTGGATGGAAGGAGGTTGTATTGTGTCAGCGGCATCTGCGTTGACTGACTAGTGAGCATATGTGGAGAAATCAGTGAGACGTTGTCCAAATAGCATAGACAACGCATTGATTGTAATTTTTTTCAATTAAAGCAATAAATTACATTATCCCCATTGAAAATTAGCGGAAAGGACTTTTTTTTTCGAGAGCCACCTAAAATTTAGAACATTTTGCGAGTTGGAGTTCAACTATCTGCGGAGCAAGAAAGGAATTTGTGTACGTAGCTAGAAAAATGGCTGGCTTGTCAACCTCAACTTAATTTTAAATCAAAAAGGCATGAAGATATTGTTTCAGTGAATGATCATAAAACTCCTATAAATATCAAAATTTACTTTTAAATTATAGCACAAAAGGAAAACAAATTAGCTGGCATTAGCTCAATTTTTATCCCTAAAATACCGTTTAGCACGATCACATATTATGTCTATGTTAAATTATTGACAAAATTCTATCACAATTCACCGTGTTGCAAGTAAATTAATAGTTTTATATTGCTTCGGCGCACTCAAAACTTGTACGTATTTCCACTTACGACACCTCCGAGCAGGCGTAGAGCTACGTACGGCTTCTTGTACGTAGCTTCCCGCGCAAATGTTTTGATAATACCACCGCTAGAGTTACGTCATCATAGCAGCACTTACGTCACACGTAAGTCGCTACGTGTACTTAGCGATGTTTTGATAATCCGGCATCAGAGAATTCGTTTATTTAAATTGACAGAGAGTTGGACAATTCTTCAGAATAATACATAGGGAGTTGCAATTGAATTTTCAAATTTCTGTAGCCTATCACTTTTTCCCTGAAATTTTGATTTTTTCCAAATTCTGTTTTTTTAATAACTTTTTCAATGTTTTTATAATAAAATTTATCTGGAATTCGCTGATGTAAACTGTCTAGGTGCAATTCTTATGTGCAACGTGGGATACAGAGTACTTCTCGAGTGCTAGGTGTTGATGATCAAATTCCTAAGGCACCGTAGGTTATCTTTTATTGTTTGAAAAGAAAATGACTCATTGCATCAAAGAAATTGCCACTGACATCAATTGGTTAAGTGTTATTCGTCTCTTCTCTTATCTTTACTTATAAATTTCTTTGAATGTCTTTCTTGTATTGCTGTAAGGTCTATTAGCAGTAAACCTAATGAGCTTTCATTGCTACTCTATGCAAAAAAGTTATTAGAGATATGAACCATCTAAACTAAACAACCTAACAAATTCCTATAATCGGTTTCATTTTTTTCCGTTGAAGAATATAATTTTTTTTAATATCTCGAAACATTCAATTACGCTTCTTCATGCTCCATTAATATAGTGAATAGCGGTATACAAGTTGGTTAATATCAAATAAACTTCCGACGTTTATCTTAATTGTCTGTTGCTACCGTACCCATATCTGTCGTAGAAATAACGTAGTTTCATTTTCTTGCGTTTCTCTTCTGACATCTGGTAAGTCTTTGGCCGTGGACGGAGACTTGATGTATTTTATTAGATGTATTGATGTATTAGATGAATTTGATGTATTAAATGTATTAGATGTATTTGATGCGTTAAGTGTATTTGACGTATTAGATGTATTTGATGCATTAGATGTATTTGATATATTAGATGTATTTGATGTATTTGATGCATTAGATGTATTTGATGTGTTGGGTGTATTTCGGTCGACTGAGGCTAGAAGATGAAATTCCCTGCCAACTTTTCATGCTATCTTGCTTGCTACATTGCAAGGTATATCGTGTTATTCCCAGGATACGTCAGTTAATCTCGAGTTAGTTAAAATATAATCGCTGTTATATTATCCGACTGTTATCATTCTTATCTTAATGAAAACGTCAGAATTTTATGTTGCTCTTTTTATATGGTTATAAATAGTTTTAAAATTTAGTTTGTTTATTTTTATTCGATTTTCTCAGGTCAACATCCTGCACTTGGTATCCTACCTAATGAATTTCGTGCTCAAGCACCCGAAATTCACGCGTCAGAACTTCGGTCATGTTGATGCCGCGATAGCAGGAGCCATCCCCGTACCTGCTACCGCTGCTGCTAAGGTCTACGACGCCATCTCCACGCACGGCCAATTCTTCCACGGTACGTTACATGTTTTAATATTATAATATATTATTAAAACCTATTCCCATAATTATAACCTCTGAGTCAGTGGCTCCAAAAGTGGATGTTCTTCCAAGGTGCGTTACATAACTTACATTTCATAATAACAATAATTAAAATATTATAATAACCCATGAACCAGTGGCTCCAAAAGTGGAAGTTCTTTCACGTGCGTTGCATATTATAATAACAATAATTTACATATTATAATAACCTCTGAGACAGTGGCTCCAAAAATGAAAGTTAATTTCCCTGTGGGGGAATATATTTTATTGGGTCTGAGAGTAGAAGGAATGGTATAAATATCAGCAGTATATATTTGGAGCTAACATTTGAATGGGCATGAAAAATTGAATTGCTAGGTAAAAGTGTTTAGGAGCCTGTGTACGAGGTAATGACTAGTGTCCCTAATGCAGAGTTAATTTACATTTAGTTTTGCGTATTTGTACATACACACAACCTGTGAAATTTGACTGTATTTTTCAACGTTATAATACCATTCATGGGTGGCCCAGTATTAAGAGTTCAAAGTACCAGGATTGGAGCAGTGAACTTTGGGTTCGATCCCAGCTCTGTGCGACACTTAATTCTGGTCGAATCGGCGAGGAGGCCGAGCGGTTAAGCAACTCAAAAATTGAGCATTGAATTGTGTGTTCGAGACCCGCTACAAGCTGTGAATATTCTACCATGCTAAGAATTGGTAACAGGCCTAACGGCCTTATTAACGCTGAAATATTCAATGGTATATATGCACCTCACCCCCACAGCGTACGGGATGACCGAGACGTTGATCAGCCACCAGGACCCCGTGGGGGACACGCGGGTGGGGTTCACGGGGCAGCTTCTGCCGGGGCACGAAGGGAAGGTGGTCGACCTCACGACAGGGGAGGACCTCCCCGTGGGGCAAGTGGGGGAGCTCTGTACCCGGGGACCAACGGTGAGAGGAATCCAGAATTTTTGGTCGTTAATTTGATACAAACAATGTAGATCCGGTATCTATAATATCAAATGATAATAATAATAATACTTATTATTTAATGCTCATGCGTGAATGGCTTTATCCTAATTTGAATTACATAGCACTTAATCACACAGGCTAATATGCCCTCTAGCGTGATTACGAGCGGAAAGGAATAGATATTGAATTGTGGGCAAGGGCTATGTAGGGGTCTATACTGCGTCCCACGGCCAATAAGGCCACGTCATAACCGTACCCCGCCCGTCAGCTGATGAAGGCGTACCACAACCTAGCCCTAGCCACCAATGATCAGCCGTATCACGGCCAATAAGGCCACGTCATAACCGTACCCCGGCCGTCAGCTGATGAAGGCGTACACAACCTAGCCGTAGCCGCCAATGATCAGCCGTATCACGGCCAAAAAGGCCACGTCATAACCGTACCCCGGCCGTCAGCTGATGAAGGCGTACCACAACCTAGCCGTAGCCGCCAATGATCAGCCGTGTCACGGCCAATAAGGCCACGTCATAACCGTACCCCGGCCGTCAGCTGATGAAGGCGTACCACAACAACGCTGAGGCGACGGCCGCGACGCTGGACCAGGACGGTTGGCTGCACTCGGGCGACGTGGGACGCTACGACGTCGACGGCTACGTTAGCGTCGTCGACAGGATCAAGGAGCTCATCAAAGTCAACTCTCGGGATGTAACTGAAGTTTCCAGCAGAACATTTCAAAGTATTTTAGCTCTATTGTATATCTTCTTTTTTTCTGTGTCGAATCATCAAAGACCTTAATTTCTTACTAATGTCGATTTTCCAGTAGAACATTTTTTAAAGTATTTTAGCTCCTTTTTTCTGTTTCGAATCATCAAAGACCTTAATTTCTTACAATATCGATTTTCCAATAGAACATTTTATTATTGTATTGTAGCTCTATTGTAAATCTCCTTCTTTCCGTTTCGAATCATCAAAGATTTTGGTCAAAGACCAAAATATAATAATGATGCTCTCGACTGTTTCGTATCATCGAAACTATTCGGTTACTCACTACTGTCATTCATATCATTAGTGATGCGTATATACATATCTATATTCTTTCCAATATCTTTTGAAATGCCGCGTCTTATTGGACGATTAGGTTATGTTCATTGTTGCACCGGAATATTTCAGGACTGCTATTTAGACTCTCTCTCTCCAATGATGCTATACACAGGGTGCGTACCGATCCTGGAAAATCTGGAAAGTCCTGAAATTTGATTTTTCATTTTCCCGGCCTGGAAAGTACTGGAATTTCATTTCAGATTATGGAAAATACTAGAATTTGCAAGTAAATAAAAAAAGGAAGTATTTTTCTGTGCTGCGTATGTTAACCCTAATCGCCACGGGTTGTCGTGTCACGCTACAACCTCGGGTGCAAATGATATCTGCCCTTCATTTTGTTAAGTATTATTTAGGTGTCTTCTATTTTACATACGCTGCGATTATTTTACCAGGCATTAATATAGATTATTTACTATCAAATGCAGTCTTCAAAAGCCCAATTATGAACTCGAATCTATTTTTGAAAATTATGAGAATGGAAGGACCGAATTTCTGGCCTCAAGCAGAGCCATCTCCGTGTACAACTCCGACCGCTCGAACTTGTGTCTATGTTACCCATGGAGAGGAGACTAAGTCATTCACGTATGCGTGTGCCTGAGATATCGCTGGTGCATGTGCAGCTTCAGCACTGGTGCACCTGCATCCTCATTGCTAGTTTCTATCAAAGTTTCTTTGTTCCTTTAGTTATTTATCTCATTGTCTGTGACTTCTTTGCCCGCCATTGAAAGAACTGCATGAAATGAAACGCATTAGCAGAGCGGGAAGCTCAAGTGCCTCAATGAAGTTCCAGTTAAAATATTATTGATCAACACCAAGAATAGATATCAGTTGAAGAGTATTTCGACAGACAAGGCTGTGAGATTCGTGGTTATTTTTTACGGTGGTTATTAGAAACTAAGGGCGTTTCCCGCTAACCCTACGCGATTAGCGTTAAACTGTTTCTACAGTCTCTTGTTTCCTGCGTTCTGATTGGCACGCATGAAACAAGAGACTGTGGCACAGTCTCTTGTTTCCTGCGTTCTGATTGGTTTTCCAATCACGTGACCGTCGGTCATGCGATTGGAGAACCAATCACGTGAGCTCGGTCACCGGGCTCAGTTGCATTCGAAACTATTTGATGTGCAGTGGCAGCGTTCCCTCTTAAGCGTGCAATTTCTACATCGGCATGCGTGGAAAGTGTAAATTTTATGACTTGTGGTGAAAAATGGAATCTTATCGTGACTGGCTTGCTCGCCATCCCAAGCATGAAGGTATGGCGATATGTACGTTGTGCTCGAAAGACTTCGATGTGATATGGGGGAATCAGCTTTGAAAAGCCATGCCAAAGGCAGCAAACACACCAAGTTAGCTAAGCAACACAGTGAAGTAAAAAGCAAAGCGCAGTTACGTGTTTCCGATTTGTGGTCTGCTGACAGCAATGCAACTGCAGTTTCTTGCTCAAAAGTTTATCAGGAAATAGTCCGTCGCAAAAGTCAGCACGCATCAGCACTGCAGTGTCTACTGCCACTGTGAATGTAGGGACAAAAAGCAGGCCTGTATCCACTGCCAAAGCCAACCCCACGCCGAACTAACCAGCTTTGTAACAAAAGAAGATGTTTTGACGTCTGAAATTTGGTGGGCATTTCCAGATTTGTCATTTTTGATCCTCTGTGTCTGCCCGTTCTATGCATTTACACGTTTGCTAGTTATCAACTTTAGGAGAGGATAGAACACGCACGGTTACTCTTTCAGTCATGATAAAACTGTCGTATACGACTCCTGGAAAATTATACTGATGATCATGGAGAGTCCTGGAAAAGTCCTGAGTTTTTTTTCTCAATATCGGTACGCACCCTGTATACAATGCAGGATGCGACTAGTTTTAGTTTTTGGATAGTTCGATAGATTTTCTTCTTACTTTAACATAAGTAAATACTAGTTGCTGGCTCCCCACACATCATTGCAATACACGACCACATTTCCATGTGATAGTGAACTTAGTGAACTGTAATACATACATGTGCGACATTTAGTAACTGCTCACACGTACCCTACCTCTGCCCACACGTACCCTACCACTGCTCCTCACAAGTACCCCACCACTGCTCACACGTATACCACTGCTCACACGTACCTTACCACTGCTCACACGTCCCCTATCACTGCCCACACGTACCCTACCACTGCTCCTCACAAGTACCCTACCACTGCTCACACGTACCTTACGTCTGCTCACACGTACCCTATCACTGCTCACACATACCCTATCACTGCTCACACGTACCCTATCACTGCTCACACGTCCCCTATCACTGCTCACACGTACCCTATCACTGCTCACACATACCCTATCACTGCTCACACGTACCCTATCACAGCTCACACGTACCCTATCACAGCTCACACGTACCCTACCATTGCTCACACGTACCCTATCACTGCTCACACATCCCCAATCACTGCTCACACATCCCCTATCACTGCTCACACATCCCCTATCACTGCTCACACATCCCCTACTTCAGTAAAAGATTGCAATGCCTATCATAAAACCTCAACAAACACCTCCCCCTACTCACCCAGGTGTCCCCCAGCGAGATAGAGGACGTAATCCTGCAGCTCCCCCAGGTGGTGGAGGTGAGCGTGGTTGGTGTCCCCCACGACAAGACGGGTGAAGCCCCCCAGGGCCTACATCACCACCAAGGGCGGCATCGATGAGAAAACGGTATGGAATATGATGCATTATATGGTGTCTTTAAACCAGGGACCATACTTTCAAAACTCGCTAAGTGAACGTAAGTACTTACGCTCTATTTTCTTGTCTATGATTGGTGGATTTTGCTTGAAAGGCCGTCAATGATTGGCTAATGAACTTACGATCTCTTAACATTTTTAAAAGTATGGCCCCTGCTTATTGGTTTTAGATTACAGAATTTGCTGATTTATACGCGTGCAATTAGTGAACTAGAAGTACTTCTTATAATAGTATGCCTTTCCATCTGCTAACGTCATCTGAAGAATTGTCCGACTCTCTGATAAATTAAATCAACGAATTCTCTGGTCACTAATCGTACGCGTATAAACCTGCTTATGGACACAAAAGTCCGTACCCTAACAAAATTTAGAGCCGAGGGCGGCTCTGGATTAAGGAACGCCTAGGACTCGGGGAGCATAGTCCACCAGCATCCCTATGTCCGCTTTTCGGTCTATATTAAGGTCCCCGAATCAGACAGCTACAAGCGCCTGGTCCATAAAGGCGCTGTTACTTACAGGTGCAAGAATAGGCGCTACTCTTGCGCCAACTCATTCTGCCTACTCTCAGGAGAATATAAAGTCGGCAAGGAGGTTCTGACTAGTCGCTGATTGCGATCAGTTGGCCAACTGACCCAGAATAACTCGAACGCGAACATGGTAACTCTGTGGCGGACTGGCGGAGGCTGAAGCATACCCCGAATTTTGTTACGGTAAAAGTTATTCTCTAGATATTCGCCTTGCAGTAGAATTCTTTACCTCTTTTAAAATGTATTTTCCCCGCAGAAACTAAGTTTCCTATTTTGCAATTATCAAAATCATTTTCGCGTGATTTCAATAAAGATGCCAGTTCATTCCGTATCCAAAATTGTAAAGTCGTCAAAGACCATTACGACATAAGCATTTTTTTCCACGAACTGATACTTAAGCACGCATTCATGAGACTCGGGATGGCCGAGTGGTTAAAATCGCCAAGGTTGAAGCAGCGAGTTGAAAGAATATAATATATATATTTGTGCCTCGTACGTCTGGCACAGGTGATGGCGCACGTGCAGCAACACTGCGCCAAGCACAAGCACCTGACGGGCGGTGTTGCCATCCTGGCTGAACTTCCTAAGAACGCCACCGGCAAAGTCATGAGGAAAGAACTCGTCAAACTCGCTGCTGCTGGGAAGTAACTATGTTTATGATTCCAAATATATGATTTAAGTAAATCTTATTCGACTCCTTTCGAAATAATCTCGTGCAGAGAAAATAATTGACGTGTTTTGTAGTCTTTTAGATACGTATTTAATTGAAAGATTATATTGCACAAATTTGCACGAAACGTTAAATAATTAGATCCGAAACTGTGGGCTAATTATCTGCAAGCCTTTAAAACATCCCTGTAGAATGTTGTTACAAAAAACAGCATTCTTCTTTAATAGTTTTCTACAGATTACTAGATCCGCTAACTTGCTATACAATCATTGAGGCCCAGTGGTTACAGTTCAGAGTCCCAGGACTGGCGCAGAGAGGCGCGGGTTCGATCCCAGCTCTGTGCGCCAGTTTCTGGTCAGAATCGGCGAGGAGGCCGGGCGGTTAAGCACAGCATTATTGTAGCAGTGAGTTGCGAGTTCGAGACCGCAACATGCTGGGAATGTTCGGCAATGTTAAGATCCGGCGACAGGCCTACGGCCTAATGAACGCTGTTATACTATACCGAGCTGTACTGTACTATACTGTACTGTACCACACTATCCTGTACTGTACCAGTGTACCATACTATCCTGTACTGTACTATACTATACTGTCCTGTATTGTACTGTACTATACTATACTGTACTGTATCAAAATGACATGGGATAAAATTCCATCACAAGATATCTCCTTAATATTTAGGTCCATTTAATGATTTTGAAATTTTGTTTAAATTTATTTGGGCATTCCTGCCATTTCCTGGAGAAATAAACTTGAGTGATTTTTTATGAATATTTTAGGCTTGCATTAAATTGTAGGATTGGACAACTTTAGTCTAATTAGTATACTGTTGTAGTTTCTCCTAGTAGAAAATAGTATATTAAACCTTGCCTTCTTAGGCTATAACTTCATTTGTTATGTTAATTTTTCAGTAAACCAACTCGAAAGTTGTTAAAACGAGTTTTCAGAATCAAAACCTGAAGCCAACAGTCGAGTCTATGAAAAAAGGGGGTCGAAAATTTCGTTTCCTTGTAATCTTGGATTTTATGTTTTCTGCTTTATGTTAGATATTTTGGCAGTACAATAATTAATGTGTGAGCTCTAAATTTCCTAATGCATTGCGTTTTAGTATCTAGTTTATCGCCCGTAACTCTTTTTTCGAATCGAAATAGATTTTCACGATGGCGAAATTTAACGTTGAAAGCGACAAAAATAAATTCGATGGTCAACTTTTGGGGAG